TTCTACAAATTTACAACATAATTGTTCAACTGAAATTATAAATCTACATCACAATAATGCCTCTTAAATAAAATATATTTAATAAAATAAAGTCACTAAAATTTACTATATAACTTGTATTGTCCCTCCACTATAAATTATAGAAGGCGCCCCATAATTTCACTAGTGAAGTAACATTGAGTAAAATAGCGTTTTGAACCTTTTCCGAAAGAAATATGAATTTAAACTAGTGGGGCCTTCTAAGAATCTAATAAATTAGATATGGTTGTTAATTTTGCACTGGCGGAGAGCTTCATTGAATCCCTCACAGAGTGACAGGTCATGCTGTTGTTGGGCACACTCAATGAACTGTTTGATCTCCCATGCGCAAGGGCCCTGCGGTGGTTGGGCCTGGTTGTATACGGGCTGTGCTGCAGGTGCCTGCTGCTGTGGTGCAGGCTCACTGCTGCCACCACTGAACATTCCAGTCAGAGCACTACCAGCGACATGTCCCTGTAACAAGCATAGTTGGAAGACTTTAATAAAGTAAAAGAAATATTTATAAAACAAGTGATTCAATCTCGCCTTACTTTCAAAAATTTTTAAGAAGCGACATAATTCCTAGACTAGTGACTACTAACTAGTATATTATTAAACTTTATTGTTGATAAAAATATGATCCATTGTTTAGAGAGTTAAGACTCCATTGCATAAGAGATATTCTAAATAATTTTAAGATCAATTCCTAGTATAGAATATTCATACAGACATCATATTACTTTGCATCATGTTTCATAAATATAAATCACAGTCATGTTTATCTTATCATTTATAAAGCTGAATATTTTGTTTTGAGCACAAAGAAATCTAGGCAAGAATGATAAAAGGGACTTATGGATATCACATGATTCAATATTGTTTTCCAAAATTCTAGACTTTAAACCTAATAATGCCCTACAACAAAGGTTATATGGTACTGAGGACTTTAACCCCGCAATATGCTTAGTTAACGTTGATTAAAACATAAAAAAACTGGTATTCTTAGTTTGTGTTTCTTTTAGTAATGAAAGTTATCTGTAAAGTAGACAGAAAAACATCTTACAGATAATTATTCCTCTATTATAAGTGCAATTTGCATAAAACGTAAATAAAGTGACACATAAATATTGCGCAAATTTATTTACTTCTAACAACATGATAACACATGACAATAACTTGGCGCTAAGCCAATTAGTCTTAGAAAATTCGATTGAATGTATTAGAAATTTACTAAATTGGTTGCGTAATAAAATTGTAGAAAAACATATATTTCCAATCCTAATATTTACGTTACGTAATTTCTTGTACATACCACTGCTGATCCTACAGCGACACCGCCAGCGGTTGCGGCCATCTGACCGAATAATGAAGGTTGTTGAGGTTGAGCATGGACAGGCCCTGGGCTTGATGGAGGTGCATGAGCGGGCACATTGCTCGGTGGTGGCGCAGCACTGTAATATAAACAAAGTTAGGTTATCATCGATATCGTATATTTCTTGCGAGACATTCAGAATTAAAACGTATTTCTCTTACCGCCGCTGTGGAGCTGGTGGCGGACTTGCTGATCGTCCTCGTCGTGGCATTTTGTTGAATTAAACTCGAGTACAAATTGCAATAAAAACTATCGTAACGAAAACGTTTCACAGTATGCTCCAATAAGAATTGTCACGATCACGATCACAATGTCATTTATAAAATGAATGAATGTCGTTCCGATGTTTTCCAAAGAGTTTTCGATGGATTTCTAGAAACTTTGAATATGAAATAACTGAGTATAACCATCCTTGTCTGGCTTATGACATTTATATTTCACCATTTCACGTCTTGATTAACAGTTCAAATTTTTGGCATGGCACAGATAAAAAACTTAAAGGATTCACAAAAGAAAAGCGAATACAGATAACAAAACTAAAATGATCCCAGACAGACCAACAAAAGTGATTAAGACCACTTAAAAAATTAAGGTGCTATAGTTTTAAATATTTTAATAAAACCTGCTATCACCCATTATATCCATATGTTTACTTAACTAAATGGAAAGGACGAAAAGATAATCAAACTTACAAATGTTATAAAAATAATAATAAAGTCATGAAAATCTTACTTGCTTCTGTTAGGTGGCATTGTGTAAAAAACTTTAAATGTTACATTTTACTTTTATTTTGAATTTAATGTTTGATAGCACAGTTGGACATATTGAAAGGCGAAACGTCTTTTGACGGCTCAGCTTTGGTCTCTGTAGAAAAGATTATTTTATTAGAATCAGCCAGTCATAAACTCAAAAACTCAAAAATAAATATACGAGAATCTCATTGAAATCTATATCCTAATATAAATCAGTGGAAAATATTCAGAAGTTCTGAAAATGTCATTTGATTTAGGTTTCATTGGTTCCGACAATTTTTTTATTTCCCTTAACAATTTATCTAAAGTGAGTGCGTAGAACGGAACGCACTAGTAATTCAAATTGCGCGGCAAGTTTCTGTCAAATGTATCGCAAGGTGCGGTTATCTTTTCATTCACTAGATCTATTATTCACTCAGCAACTCAGTTTAGTTCAATTTTTCGTTACCTCGTTTAGTGATTTTGAAGCCGCGTGACTATCGTGAAATAAGTACAAGATCGGCGATTGTATTTACGACTTTTTGAGTGAAAATGGAGGATATAAAAGCCGGTCAAAATCTGAATATGTTCCTCGTCGGCGGACTTACGATCTTATTATGTTTTATATTACATTTAGTTTATAAAGCCATCTTCTCCACTCCGAAAAGAGATGCATCGCTTACTACAGAGAGCGATTCAGGTAGGTTTCATTTTTAAAAATAGACTTTATAAAAATACCACCAATTTTACATCTTTGTTATTTTAGAAAATATTTTTTTTATAATATACGCTTGATTACAAAAATAAAAACTTGTGTATGCGCAGTGTTTTCTGTGAACTTCGAAGACCTCGTGTTCGAAAAACGCATTGTAGCTCAGTGCATGTCAGTGACCGCCAATTCAATAGAACTTAGAAAATAATCATGAACATATAGTGACTAAAATTATTAAAAAATCAAATAAGTAAGGATGTTTTAAAAACAGTAAAAATGCATTTTACTCATAATTTGTACTTATGTGTCATACATTGTATATTTCTGAGTTATGTTTATGTGGGAAACAGCTGGATAAATAAATTTTGAAGGTAAAAAAGGTCACTGAAATTAATTACAAACAAAAATGTATAACATTTTATTTCTTAAGTATTCTGAATCATATCTGGTGATGTCATTATTACATTTTGTATTACTAGAATTATTTTACCTTTTAATTTATTTGAACTATTACACAAATACATTATCAGTAAATTTAAGAATAAGGAGACAATTTAAACACAGAAATCAGAAGTATTTAATTGAAAAGACTTAAATACATCTTATAAATATATAATAATCCTTGGGATGGGATAGTACATTCTAGAATCATTATTATTGTGTCAAAATATACCCACTAGTTTTTAAAGATTAATTTATTTACATTAATTTGAATTTAATTCATAATAATTTTTCAATCTTAGGATTTCAGTAGGATACAACCTAACTGTAAAAACATGACTTGTACCTCACAATAAAAAACATAAAAAGATTCCTGAGTTGCTTGAAGTTATTTTAAATTAATAAAGAGTTGAATGACCTCTGCATTGAATCCTTTTTGGCTGTAAACAGATATACTATTAAGATTTCTCATTGGTGTTTACTGTCACCTTAAAATAATTTTTGGATGTTTTTAAATGTAAATAAATATTAAATTATCTGCTTTTAACACAAGCTATTACTGTTATCAAATATAAATTTTATAACCAAGTATATTTGGACAAATTTAAATTACAACACTTATTATGATTTAATTTTGTAATATATAGGTTCCTATTTATCTCCCCAGAATGAAGGGTATCTTTTTACAGATTCAATATTTTACATGTTGGATAGTTATCAGACATAAATTGTGAGACAATATTTGTTGGGACAGACCCTTAGTCATATTTTTTTTCTATTTGTGTTCAAGTAAATGACTAACAGAGATGAGTATAGTCAGCTTAGTGCTAATCTTGATCATATTGATGATAAATTTATTATAAGAGTTAATTATATATTAATATGGTAAAAACATGCAAAGTACCACATGATATACCAAGCTATATCAGTGTGTGGTTTGCGGTAAAATAAATTATTTTTGTGAATATATATGAGGTATTGTGTATATTTTTGCCTTTCGTTTTTACCTTTACTATAATCCAACAAAGATAATATAACCGTGGGAGTTTTTTTTGCAGTATTATATGTGTTAAGACTGAAAAAATTCTGACACTTTTTTTGATGAATATATTTCTTATTATAAAATGCTCCAAACCATCTGAATTGAAATCCTACATAAATTTCAAACATGCTTCTATTTATTTTTTTAATTTATTAACTAGGTCAGTGTTGTAGTAATATAGTTGTTTGATTGAATCGAGTACATTTAACGGTATACAATTTACAGTGTTACATACAGAGTACATGTTAGTAATAAAATAGTCATAATAGTACATTGTTCAACAATAGTTACACTATTGTTTCGTGACAATACGCGAGCTTATCTCACTCTGATACGTTTTGATTTTAACGCGTTTATTGTGTTTGTAGTAAATATTGCTTGTGTTTATTAATTTGTGTAATAGAATAATTGTTTGTTTAACATTTAAAGATGATATATGCATTGTGTTGATTGTATTTTATAAAATTCTTGTGGAATATTTCATTATTACTCGTGATTGTAAACGCAGTAATAAACTGGCGAATCATACGCATTTTTACATTAATAATTACACCAAGCGTAGATAAAAACAAATTCTGAAAAAAGATAATCCAAAACATTTGAAATTATTATTTTAATGTGTGTAATACTTTTTAATGTCGAAATAATTATTTTTCCCATTTTCTAATATCACACTCGCAAAGTATTGAATTATGTTTTCTAGCATTTGATAACTTAATTGTGGTCTCGTTTCCGTCATACGTTAAAAATGTCTGCCCTTTTCGATAACGCTTTTGTTTGATATCATATATGTATTTGGTTCGTGAAAAACCAATGTTATTGTGATTAATATATTACTTATTTATGTAAAATCTTGGCTAACTGAATTTATCATAGAAATTTTAGTAAAATAATATAGACGACCCTAACGGTATTTACTTGTAAATAATTGCATGATTTATTTCTTGTTTTACTAACAACTCGGAATAGATCAATAAATTCGTTGTATAAAACTGTCATAGAATTGTCCTTTTAATAACCTGCTGAATTCCTTTTATATTCCAGGTGCTCAAGTAGACGAGGCTGTCTCTGAGGTAGCGCAAGTCGAGAACCGGCCAAGTAAAAGCAAGAAGCGTGCTCCATGGAAGGGGAAAGCGGAGTTCACGCATCCCTGGTTACTGAAGAATCTCAAAGGTCACCCCGGCAACGTGCTCCATATGGACTTCTCTGCGAACGGCAAATTTATGGCCGCCACATGTGATGGTAAGTTGCTATAAATAATATAAGGTGCTGGTGACTAACAAATTATAAACAATTTAATGTATTTCAGAGCGAATATACATTTATTTGTGCGTTAATTGTTTCAAATAAAGATTAAATAAAATTAAATTATAATTTGAAATTATGCTTGAATTAATGCAGTTTAGATTTTCCTTAATATTATTATTTCATATTAATATAGGAGCAATTCAAATGAATATCCTGTAATTTTTAAAGATTTGTATTAAATGAACGCATGTAGATGTTTATATTTATTAAACTATACACCAATGATTGTTATGGTTTAACAAATACAGTTACTGCTACATTTGTTACAATCGGTTACGCTAACTGTTTGCAGTTAAATTGTAGGAGGGTAGCGTTCTGCTTGGATAATCAACTTCTAAAGTGTCTTTTCGATTGCATAATGGTTAACGTAACAGTTCATTTTTTATTTTCGTAGTCAAGTGACTCCTGTCGAATTTTTTTACGAATTTATTCCATTCGATCGTAATTATTATTTGAAATTATTAACGCATACAATTCTAATTTTAATAGAAGTAATTACTTAATACTTTATTTAAATGAATGATTGCTTTATAAAATAGTAATAATGCATTACTAACAAATTAGATTAGAAAAGATCTGTTAAAAACTGATACAATGCTGTATTTTAAAAATCGAGTTATTTTAAATAAAGCACATTTTATAATTATTTAGGTGATAAAGCCAATAACCTTGCCCGTGTGACATAATTTGCCGATATATATGTTAATGACAGATGGTTGAAGGTCACTACGATATGTTACAAATGTTATGCGTAGTTTCTATTATTATGATTACAATCATTTAAACCATTTTATCATGCTTGATAATAATAACAAATATCAGAATCACGAATCACATAATACCTCTTAGGTTTTGAGATTGATTCCTTTTATAAAACTATATAGCTTATAGTGAATGTGATGAAACTACTCTTTATCAATTTAAATTTCATTAAGCGCTTCAATTTTTTTTCTGTAATCCAATTCGTACATCCTTTTTTGCTCTGACACATGGTCTAGCTATGAAACGATACATTTTAACCGCCAGCTTTGGTGATGACTAATCGAATCTCAGAGCAGTCTTACATTGTGCAATATTTATAAATACCTTGGCTAAAGAAAAAGTTGTATCAGTTTTTCGACAGATCTGAAATATTTAAAATATTAAAATTTGTCTATGTGTGTGAACTAACAATAGTCTAAGCAATGTTCGTGTAAGCAATATTAAAAGTATATTTTTAATAATGATTACACGACAATACTGCTGGCTCTTTTAATATACCGTTATAGTATTCCGCTAAGCCACTGTTATGTGTAATTTGGCGGTCCGCCGGTCGAAATCTCTACAAACATATTATAAACATTTATATCTAAAGTATTCATCATGCACTATCAATTTTTATTGCGATGCGTAAAATATTTAACTATAAACCGTATGACTGTATTGATAAAAATAAATTTACCTGTTTAGTATTGAGTTCGCATTAAAATGAAAGACTGATAAGGTTCACAAAACAAGCCTACAGACAAACATACTTATCATTAAATTTAATCTAAGGTTGACGTATATTTTAGACATTTAAGATATAACATCTTGTAAATAAACTTACTAAATCAAATAGTTAAAAAAAAATAGGAATATAGACAGACATAATTTGCATTTAGTATCCTTAATGGTCATGACTTCGAAAGATGTCATTGAACTGGTCTACAGTGATTATAACGGCAGTTTCGAACAGAAGTCTCGTATTTTCTTGTTTAATTAAGAAATATCAATGAATCATTTCGTTGCGAAATGCTTCGAACTTAGCGAGAATGTATAAACGCTTCGTACCGTTACTCATCGATTTTAAAAGATGCTTATTGAATAGCTATTTGTGAGTATAATTATTTAACGCCAGAGTTTCTGAAGAAACACGTAATTTTTGTATAACTTTAAATTCCTTTTTGCCAATAGACAGAATTGTATAATAAATGAAGGCCTCTACTACCATTTATAGTCAGTAGGATTGTCCATGTTCTTAGATACCACAAAATTGTACGGAATATCAATTATGACGGATGATAAAAATATATTGAAGAGTACGGTAATGTACCTAGTCTGTAGAAAAATTACAGGCAGAAGAAATGATGTACAGAACTTTTTATATCTTTCATACATTTCCTGAGATGTTTTTTTGCAAGATTGTTAGCGTTCGGTCATTGCGAGAAATAGATGTGAGTTTGCGCGCGAGAATTTCGCTTTGGTCATGCGATTTCGCGCGGTCCAGTTGCATGTAGCGTGACGTAGGCGATAAGCCGGCAGCCGGATTGATCGCGCCCATACACCGGTCGCTCACCTCGCGTCTACGACCCTGTTCCAACTGCTTTATTGATTCAAACAACCGGCACGCGTTAATGCGAAACATTAATTAATACGTACGAGCCACGCCTCTACGCTTCGACAACGAAAGAACGTCGTATATTTAATGCCCAGTTACGTTACGACTCGTTGCGTAGATTTATGTTTGTGTTAATTGTGTTTAAATAGTTAATGATTTATTGAATGGTTGATTTATTATAGAATAAGATTTTTCTATATTGTGTAATCATACGTTTAAGGTATGTAATAAAACGATTTGCCAACAGTTTGAACTGGTTGTAATTCTGCAACTGTCAATATTATAGTCACGATTATCGAGTAGTTGTTATACTTTCGAAGATTACTCAGAAGTTTTGTACTACACCGTACTGGTAAAGCATCATAAATGAGCTCACCACGTGTGTAAAACCTAAACACGTATAGTATTCATACGCAAGACTTACTTCAAACAAAACATTTGTATAATTGTTATTGGAAATGTTATTTTTGTGTATAACTTAAATAATGAAGTCATCAGCACAGTATTAAATGGATAGTAATTGCTTTAACGATTTGGTCGATGCATCCAAAAACGATCGAACGAATTAGACACATGGACTGATTCACGTTTTTAGGTCTTTGTCTTTATCTACATTTCCCTTTCTTACTGTAAGTTGAAATAAATATTGTTATCTAGACAATACGATTCAATTTATCTTCGTATGCTTCGTATTCATCAATTTAATCTTGAAATTATTTATACTAAAGCTGTCAAAACGTATGATAATATTTGTCTTGAATGACCGGATTTTAAATGCACGATAAACGGTATTTTTAGACACTAAGCAGAAATTTTAAATGTTTTGATAAAACATTTTATTACATACATATTTTTAGATATACAATATTGCTGACTATAAGAGCTGAGTCATATATTTACGGGGCGTAGTTATTTCACATGTAAATTTTTCATTCTTACGCTAAACGCCGCCCTGCATATAGAATAGCCAGCTTGATTGACTAAAACCTAATCCCCTAATGCAGGATAGACACGAGCCCCTTGGTAGAATGTTTTTGATCTGACTGATTTAACATTTATTAATTATTATAGATGTAGTTGTTGATAATATACTATTACGTCTATACAAGTAGTTTTAATTGAGTAAATCTATGTTATTCCGCTTGATTGGTAGGATGATCGAACAGTGAGTAGTATCGCAATCCAGAAGCGTTCTGGTCCGGTAGAGGCGAGGACGTTCGTCTCTTCGTCACGGCCGTTTACGCGTCATCGCCTCAATGTAGCGAACCGTGTTAGACATTATTTGCAAACACCCTTGTGTGCTGTAATATTTAGTATCGATTTATAAACAAACCACTCACGACTACTACGATTGGTGTAAACAGTGTTAGGGTCCGTCTACAATTGATATGGATAATTCTAGGCATAACCCTAGATCGTGCCAAAGTGATTTATTCAAACAGACTTTAACGTTACATATATCAGTTCAGAATCGACTCCACATCCGTTGAATTCAAACGTCATAACACGCTTAAGATAACAGAGATTGATATCAGATATCGAAAAAAAAATTATCTTTAGGCATACGTTCCACAAAATCGTTTGAAAAGTTCGAGATATCAGAACCTGCGCTCGCTAAATTTTAAGACAGGCAAACCACCCACTTAGCTACCGAGAAGAGAGCATTGTTTAAAAAATCTATTTGTTCGACTTAAACCGTGACCCTGTATCGTGTTTAGTATTCAAATGTCGTTGGCAGCGTTATGGTTCCGTATTTATACAACTGAGGGCGGGTGTAACATCGTTCGTTTCTGGTATTAGGGTCAGCCTTATACGTGATGTTTAGTATGCTAACAGTAAGTTTAGATGTGATAAATTTATTTGTAACATGATACCTCTTCCGCTTTTATGGTGAATTTATTACAACAAAGATACATGCAGAATTTATATA